CTCACACACACACTCACACACACACACACACACATGTCAGAGTGAACCCAGCACTTTTCCTCAAGTGTCCAAGTGTCTTTCAGCTACATCACTTTAAGCATGTCAGTGCATCAATCAGCAAGAAACCACGTTACAACTAGCGTGTCAATACCTGCCAATCATATCTGACTCACTGTGAGCGAAAGACAGAGAGGTCATGACAGCAGTCAACAACATGACGGGGAGACAGTTCAGCCCAAAAGCTGAAAACGAAATAAAGTAAAATCCAAGAAATATGTCACTATATATTGTTTAAAGTAAACAAATACTAACTAACTATTTATTATTATTATTATTATTATTATTATTATTATTATTATTATTATTATTAGTATTATACAAATATTATTATTATTATTATTATTATTATTATTATTATTATTATTATTATTATTATTATTATTATTATTATTATTATTATTATTATTATTATTATTATTATTATTATTATTATTATTATTATTATTATTATTATTATTATTATTATTATTATTATTATTATTATTATTATTGTTATTATTATTATTACTATTATTATTATTACTGTAATGCAGAAAAACAATGGTGTATATTTTAATTTTGAAGTATCTATACGTGTATAGCCTTTTTTTACATTATGCTGATTTAAAGTAAACACAAAATATTTATTTAAATATTTGATGCAAATTGTAATAAAAAGGACAGGCATCATTAAAAAAAAATCTTAAAACCAAAACATTTGAACAGATTGTGATATATGGAGGGATTTTTCACGCTTTTGTTCCTGATTTTTCATTCCTGTGACTCAAATGAAAGAACTTGACGCTGACGACAACAAGGTCATGGTTTTATTTCCACCCACACAAACTGAAAATGTACCTTGAATGGCTGTGTACGTAGCTTCAGATGAAGCATCCGCCTGACGCATAATGTCATTTGTGTTTTACTCTTATTTTGTTCTGAAACGTGACCCAGACGTTTGGTGAGATCCATCCGTCTCAGATACACGAGGCCTGACTGCACTTAAAAATCTCTAAATGAATGGCTGTGGTGACGGTGGTGATTGTGTTTGATTGCTGCAGTGCGTCTGGAGGGTTTGTGAGTGCGCGTGTTAAAGGGAAATTAAGTGCTTTGGGACTGTGATTTCCACCCAACTGCAGGATCAACAATTAACGCTTGACACAAGCTCTTTACAAAGTCAAACACACAAACATTAACTATAGAGAACGACTGCAGCAGGAAGATCTGGAGCGGATGAGAATGCAAACGTTAGTATTAGCAGGAACGT